ACCACAGGAGGTTTTAGGGGGACATCTATACCCAATCTATAACAGTAAATTCTGCTTTGATCTGAAAGTGTTTCTCTAAAGCCCATCTATCCAAAACTTGGTTGCCAGCCATTGGTGCGATTTGTAGGTGGCACCTTGTTGCAGGAAGTGATTGGGGGCATCTCTTAAAGGGAATGCTGAGATACTAGCACCTTCTATGTCATCCCAGGAGGTAAAGGGTTTCCATCTTCCCCATGGTCTTGCCAAGAGGTACTGCCCAATTACAGGCCAAGAAACAGTAGGCCAACTGACCAATTATAGGAAGCTCCAGGACTATGGGCCAAACTTTTCTTCTTATATGTTTATTATTTTAGGTATTTTGTCGCAGGGACAGAAGGATAACATAAGTCCCTTATATTCTTTAAGTTAATCCTTGTCAGTTTGTAAATTCTTTCACCTGTAGGTGGTCTTCCCTCTTTTGTTTCCTTTGCTGTACAGGAGCTTCTTAATTTGATACAATCCCATTTGCTCATGTTGCCTATGTTCTTGCCCCAAAATCTTTGGCCATACCAATGTCTTGAAGTGCTGCTTCTTTATGTCTTCTAGTAGCTTCATAGTTTCACATCTTACTTTCAGGTCTTTGATCCATTTTGAATTTATTTTCTAATATAGTGAGAGGTAGGGGTTAAATTTCACCCCTGTAGATTTGTAGGTATAGTTTTCCCAGTATCTCTTATTGAAGAGACTGTCCTTTTGGGCCATGTATAACCCCAGTTGCTCACCTCCTTTGAAAGGTTGTATAAGTGCTTCCACACATACTTTCAGTCTAGACCTTGAAGCATTCAGAGATGCCACTGACATGGATTACAGCTGGAGGCTGTCGTATGGGCTGTGCCCTGGGCCCACCCAGGGCCAAAGCCAAAGGGCCTATTGAACTAACACAACACATCTAAATATAAAACTCTTTCCCCATGAAAGCTACTGCATAAAAGTGGAAGATGTGCATAGGCATCAACACGGGGACAAAGCTCGGAAATACAAGGATGCATGACACTGCCAAAGAGCACTACTTTTCCCCAGAAAATGACCATGAGAAAATGGAAATCTATGAAATGCTTGCAAAGGAATTAAGAATTGTTGACCTTAGGAAATTCAATGAGGTGCAAGAAATTACAGATAATTACTTCAATGAAATGTGGAAAAAACCCTCATAATCTGTATAAGAAGTTCAGTTAATCAGTGAAGTAATAATATAACTGAGACTTTAGACATTAGATTACACCAAACAGACAGTCAAACACATTAGATTACATCAAACACAATTCCTGAAGACAGTCCTTCTAAAATAACCTCACCATAAATAAATAAGCAAATAATAAAATGAAGACACTAAAGGAAAACCTACAAAACTTAGAGGGCATCATTAACCAAATAAATATTTGAGGTAAAATGCAAAAATTCAGCAATAGTTAATGATAAGTAAAAAATATCCCTGTGAATAAAGAAGAAAGCTTCAACTGGCAAATGGAGTAAAAGTGAACCCACAATTAAAATCAGACTGATCTCGCTGTAAGTTGAGGCACAGGAAATGGTAAGCCTTCCACCCCAATTGAACAGTTCTGTGGATGTCCTAGCCATGCAGCAGTCAAAGAAAAGAAATACAGGTGTGGAAATGAGAAGGAGGAAGTAAACTTTCTATTGGCAGAAATGTGATGCTATTGTGTATGTAAGAAGCTTGATGAAAATGTGAAAAAACTACTTGGACTAATTTAGCTACACTGCACAATGCAAGTTCAGTATGTAACACTTTACTGCGATTTTAAGACTAGCAATGAAGACTTTGAAAAAAAAAATTAAAAAAATGTCATAAATTAAGATACATTTAACAAAACATAGACTATTCCTCAAGCTTTGCTAATGAAAATTAAAGATCTATGTATTTATCTGCACATATATAACATATAATATATGATATATGGATTGGAGGAATCAGTTTCATTAAAATGTATTGATTTTTCTAAATGTCTTCTAGTGATTGAATATAATTTCAATCAAAATTTTTATAAACTTCCTTTTTTAAATATTTAGAAATTTATCATTCTGTTTATATCAAAATGTAGAGAGCCAAGGGTAACCAATACAACTTTGAAAATTAAGAACCATGCTAGAGAACACACACTAACTTCAAGATGCCATAAAGTTACAGAATTTAGGGCAATGAATTTCCATAAGAACAGACATTCAAGTAAATGGAACAGAACAGATCCATATATATTATAAAGGAGATGTAAAAATACAGTGAGGCTGGTGAGATAGCTCAGCAGACTAAGCACCTGCTTTGGCAAGGCCAGGGACCGGGGTTCGGTCCCCGAGGAGCCACATGCCATGCTGGCCCTGCTCCCAGGGCACTCTGAGCCCGCCACCAAGACAGGCCATGGTGGTGCATGCCTGGAATCTCAGCCCTGGGGAGGCAGAAAACAGGAGTCCGATCTGTGTAGTGAGACCCAGTACCAAATACATTAAGAAAAGAAATTTTTAAAAAATAGGGTGAAATGTGGATTTTTAAAAAATTCGTTGTAGAAAAAGACACACTGCTTTGACTCCCTCCCAGGGTGTTCCCCCTTGTTTGGAGCACACTTGCCCTGTCGCTATTGCCACTTTCTGAGGCGGTTCTGGAACTGCTCTTCTGTGTCTTTTTGTAGCTGCCTTGATTTCCTACATCAGTTTAAAATATTTATAGCTATTACTGTCAGATAAAGATCATTATAGTGAGTGCTCATGCACATCACCCACTGGATGTGGCACCAAGTGACTTCTGGCTCTTTCCCAGAGTCAACGTGGCCGTGAAGGGTACATTTTTTGAATGAACTCAGAACTCTGATACAGTCACAACAATGCAATCTGATACAGAAGAGGGCCTCCAGCAAAGCCTCAGAGATAGCAGGAATGAGGGTAAAGTGTGTTTGAAGAAGAAGGGAATATTTTGAGAGGGATTAATGTCAATGTATCTTTCTTTTTTTTTTGCGCAACCAGGGATTGAACTCAGACCCTTGCGCTTGCCAGGGAAGTGCTTATTCTACTGAGCCATCTCCCCGGCCCCTAATGTATCTTTCATTTACACAATTTTTATTTTTACAATTTAAACATTTGCCATATTACTATATATATGTATACATACATATATCACAGTTAGTTGATATTTGACAGAGTTCAAGGTAAATCAATGAATCAAGTGCTAGAACTTTCAACAAATAATGCTGAAGTAACTGGATGCACATACGAAATGAAGTGAAATGAAATATCAGCACTCATACCATGCACAAAAAATATTTTGAAATAGATCATAGACCTAAATGTAAAAAAAAACAAAATGTAAAAGTTTTAGAATATAGAAGTACAAACCAAAAAAAAAAAAGAATAAGCTAGATTTTGTCAGAATTAAGATGTTTGTTTTTTGAAAGGTACCATTAAGGAAGTGAAAGGCATGGCACAGATTGGGGGAATTCTCAGCACATACATATTAAGAAAACACGTGTATCCAGAACATGTAAGAAGTTCTCCCAATCCAAAAGCAAGAAGATAACACAATAAATAAGCAAAAGATTGAAACAGATTCTTTGCACAAAAGGATGTACAGAAATGGTCTACGAATGTTGCCAAAGACAGGGAGGATCTGCGATTTCTCGTGTGTTGTTGGAAGGAAAGTGGAACTGCACACACAACTGAAAATCAGGTTTGCAGCTTCTTGTCAAGTTATGCATGTAATTATCATATTACTCAGAAATTCTACACATAAGTACTTTGTAATGATGGCGATATATGGCCATGTTTTGAAGGAGAAAAGAGTTATTGTAGCTCACAGTTTGTGGAAGTCTGAGTCTGTAATCAGTGGGCTGCAGGGTGGCATGGCAGAGGGGCACCGAGAAGGCGAGCAGTCAGCAGCAGGATAGACAGGAGGCAGCAGGCAGCAAGCCCGTCTTCTTTGTGTCCCTCTATGTCCTATCCAGACCGTAGGCCTATGGATCGATGCCACCCACAATGAGGGTGGGGCTTCCATTCTCTATACCCAGGACTGTGTTAGACCATTTAGCTATCGCTCACCTTTAATCCCAGCATCACATGCCGTAGTCCAGCATTTCACACCCTTGTTCCAGGCATCTCCAAAACTCTTCATATGGGTGTGTGAGGCTCTGGGGGGTCACACAGATCCAAGCCATAACAACACATACATTTATGAAATTCATAGCAACTTCAGTCATAATAGTGCCAATCTAGAAACAAACCCAATATCCATGAACAAGTGAGTAAACAATACTTAAGTATTAGCAGTAAAGAGAAAGGATTACAAAAGAAGGTAGAATAAAAAATACTTGAGGGATGAGGAGATAGCTCAGTGGTCTAAGCACCTGCCTGCCAAGGTCAAGGACCTGGGTTCAATCCCCAGTACCACACATCGTGCTAGTCCTGAAACCAGGCATTGGTGGTGCATGCCTGTCGTCCCAGTGCTGGGGAGGCTACGACAGAAGGATCACTATGAGTCTGAGCTGCATAGCAAGAAGCCTGCACCAAATTAAATAAATAAATAAATAAATAAGTAAATAAATGATTTAAAAAATATTTGAGGCAAAGATGCCAGTCAGAAAAGCATATATTCTGTGTGATTCCATTTAGTTGAAATTCTAGAAAATGCCAAGCTCACCTATGGTAGCAGGACACATAAATTCCCAGGACCAGGAGTCAGGTAGCATTCATGGCAGATCCACTGCAGTATTTTAAGGTGAAGGATTTTTTTTTTTTTTCCAGAACCGGGGATTGAACTCAGGCCCTTGTGCTTGCCAGGCAAGCACTTATTCTATTGTGCCATCTCCCAGGCCCCAAGATGAAGGATTGTTTTTGCTTCTTTTTCAGTGGTCATAATTTGGTTACAAATTGTCATATACACTGCGAAAACATTTCTAGCAGTACACTTTACTTTTTATTTATTTATTTATTTATTTATTTTTGAGGATTACAGCAAGTGATTCTATTTGTGGTTTCTAACCATCCCCTTGTCTCCCCCCCAAAAAAAAAACTGTACATGAGTTTACAAACATATTAACATATAAATAATGAGAAACGTCCTGGGGGATCTCCCCTTGTCTCCGCTGGAGATTTAACACTGGAGGGGCGCCGTCCCCACAGACTTTGTGTGCCATAGGGAGCTTCATGGTGGCTGTTCTGGACCAGACACTGGCTTCCTCAGCACCTCCAGACTGAACTGCCAGTCTCCGCTGTGTCCACGGAAGAGCCGGAAGCCATGAGCCTGCAGCGTGGCAGCTCCACTGCCCGTCATCGTTCTGCCTCGAGCTCATGCTGGAAGGGACGCTTCCTCTCCCGACAGTGCTTCTTGTGGGCAGGCCAGTCCTTCTGCTGGCACTGGGAGCCGCAGTACCGGGCCACCTGGCAGCGCCCGCAGATGTTGACCTCCCGGAGCTGCTTCTCGATGGCCGTGCAGGGTGGGTAGTGGCATTCATAGTAGGTGCAGGAATTCTCCTCCTCTTCCACCACATCCCCATTGGCATTATAGTACCGGGTCACGTTCAAAACAGGAAACTGCTCTTCTATGGGGTCTGTGGGGAGCTGCTGGA